AAGATACTAATAATTGATACAATAAATATTTTTTATTCTAATATATCTTTGTGGTCGAAACTTAAAGTTGATGAAAGTTGAGACTATAGTAAAGTCATCAAATAAATTAAGCAAGGCATTTTGTGAAAATGTTGGCTATTTGGTAACTGAGACGAAACATGTAGGATATGTACTTGACCTTTAGCAACTTTTTCAAGCACAAAGAGGATATTCATTTCAATATGTTTTGTGCGTTGATGTTAGATAGGATTACTTGCCAAGTAGATTGCATTGACGTTGTCACAATAGACTAGAGTGATTTTCATGATCGGACACTGGAGTTCTAACAGTATGTTTCAAAGCCAACATGGTTCAGCAACACCATGATACTCTGCTTCAGCACTAGAGCGTGATAAGGTTGGTTGTCGTTCTGCAAACCAAGAGACCAAAATATCCTTAAGATATACACAAAATATGAACGTGGATCTTCTAGTATCTGAAGAACCTCTCTAGTCAACATCAATATATGTTGTGAGTGTATCAACCAGGGAAAGAGAGATATGCAGGCCTTGGGTAATTGTACCTTTAATGTACCTAATAATTCGCTTCAAGGAAGTCATGTGTTGTGTTCGTGGATCATGCATAAAGAGATACACTTGTTAGACGACATAAGATATACTAGGCCTTGTGAAAGTTAAATATTGCAATGCACCTGCAAGGCTTCAATATTTAGAGGGATCGTGATACAGATTACCTGAGAATCTACTAAGTTTTACTTTAGTGTCCACCGAGGTAGAAACTAGTTTGCAAGATGACATGGTAGCTTGCTCAATTATCCCTTCAGAATATTTATGTTGAGAGATAAATATGTCACTTGAATGTCTAGTAGCTGAGATACCCATAAAGTAACTGACATGACCAAATCTTTCATAGCAAATTCAAAATTGATTTTAGACATGATGGATTGAGGAAGAGGATCAGATGAGGTAGTAAGTGTTGGAACAAGATTGTTCATATTCCTTGAGTTTTGATGATAACAAAGTATTTATAGAACAAATAGGTATACTAACATATGTTCAAGTGTGTAGAGTCATAAGCTAATAATTCATCATGAATTAATCCCATTGAAAGCACAAGTGAAGAAGCAATACTACTCATATTCTAAATGATCAGAATTAGAAGGTTTAGACTCTGATATGTTGTTCTAGCCTTTGGTAATAACTCAAATCCTAAAGGCTTAAGGAGCGTCTAATCCGCACTCTACACCAAAGATGACCAGTCTTGCCAAAGCGACATATTTCTGGACAGAGTTAACTAGGGTTTGGTTTTACAAGGCTCAAGGATGGTGATGTGACCTCTTTAGTCTGTTCTACCTTTTGGTAGATACATAGTTATTTGAAAGGTGTTGTAGGCAGTGCTTTTATTCAATGGATAATACTTCTGACCGAATACAACTCTCCAACATCTCTCTTGGTATTCTTGTTCACTGAGTTTGTTATTTCAAACCTATAATGAATCTTTCTCTACCTCTATAAAAGGAAGCTGAAGATTCAAAGAAAGGTTACAACATCACAACACATTGAAAGATCTTGGCATAACTTTGAGTTGTTATTGTAACTGTTATAGCATAAGATCTTAAGATTTCTTATCTTAGGTTATCTTAGAAATCTTAGAAAGGTTGAAAACCTTTGTGATTGTTGAACTAATGTTATACTTCTGATTGTGTATCAAAGTATAGTAGTTACCTTTTCTACTAAACTATTTGTTTAAAGTTGAGAAAGTCTCTTGCCTGCGTGCTTGAGCATTGAAGTCTCTTGTCTATGTACTTGAGCAAAGGAAGTATCATTCTAGTTTGATTGAGCAGGAAGTCTCTTGCAAGGTTTCTTGAGCATAAGTCTCTTTCTAGGTTAATTGAGCACTAAAGTCTCTTGCAAGTGTGCTTGAGCCATTGTGATCTGTTTGGTTATAGTGAAAAGCTCTTGTTGAGGCAAAGGGACTGAACTACTATCAGTTGAGGAGAGGAACCAGGATAAACTTTGTGTGTTACTTGCATTTACTTATGATCAGTTCATTTCTACTAGTATTGCTTATATATTATGCTCTAAATGTGGTTCAGATTCTGAAGCTTCAGTTTTCAGAAGTCAAAAGAGTTTTAGCATACACAATTCAAACCTTCTTCTTGTGTATTTTTCTGACCTTCAGTTGGTATCAAAGCACATTTTGTTCTAACACACTTAACCATGGTATAATGAATCGATCCTAAGAAAAATAATTGCTATACCATGACAGGTGTTACTGTTTCCTATGACTATAGTGTTAATGAGAAAAGTCATTATTTTGCTAAACCATCCTCATTCAGTGGTGATTCCACTCAGTTTGAGTGGTGAAAAAGCAAAATGTATACTTACATAATTAGCCTTAATGATGAGTTATTAGACATACTTAAGGATGGAATTGACATGGTTGTTGATGGTGTTGGGATGGTGAAGTAGTCAGATCCTCCAAGGTATGAAAATCTGAAGAAATTTCTGATGAAGAAGTTTCTGATGGTGATTATGATGAGAAGGAAATGGCCTTTATCGTTAGAAGGTTTTAGAAACTGGCGAGAAGGAACAAAAAATTCTCTGATAAAATCAATAGCTTCAGAGGGTCTAGTTCCAAGGATAATACCTATGATCAGAAAATTTGCTTCAACTGTAAGAAGCCTGGTCATTTTAGGCCTAAGTGTTCCGACCTGCAAAAAGAACCGAAGAAAGGAGGCTTTCAAAAGGAAAGTTTCAAGAAAAAATTCAAGAAGAGTCTCATGGCAACATAGGATGAACTTGATAACGAAGGTGGTTCAGACAAAGATGGGGGAGAAGCTAATCTAGCTCTTTTGTCTCTTACACACTCAGATACATCATGTGAATCAACCTCTAATTTAGACTCTGAAGGAGAAGATGAGCTATTTTCTAACATGTCTCGTTCTGAATTAATTTCTTTTATCCAAGAACTCATGTGTCGTTGTCAAGATAAAGTTAGACGTATGAAAACCTTGAAAAAGGAATGTGATATTCTAAGGGAAGAACTTAAAATAATTTCTCAAAACAAAGTTGAAACCTTGAACAAAGATCACATTACTCAAGTTAATACAATGTTTGATAAAACTTTGAGTAAGCAAGAGATTGCTCTTCAAGATTATGCTTTGACAGGTATTAAGAGAACAAAGCTTGTCTCCATGATATATGGGGAAAGCAAGAGAAAAGAAAAAGTTATGAGAAACAATGAAGATTGTGTTATCTTTAAAGCTTAACTCTTGAAGAACTCAAATGCTTCTTCTTAAAGCAGTGCTCAGACAGTGTTGAAAACTTGTTTTGTGTCTGACTTTGATAAAGGATGTCTCACCGTTTAGAATGCTCCTCGCTCGACCCCCTGATTGTTGCACTAACACAAATGACTTTCTTACTCATGTTTAAAATTGTACACATTGGTACATTAATCTAAAACTCTAACGGTGTTAGGTCACTCAAAGTCGCATCGTTTATTTGAATATAAATTCACTCTGAATCTTTTATAATTGATTTATTTGTTATTATGATACATGTCTCCTAACCTAAAAGAAAAAAAATAAAGAAAATCAAGTCAAAAGTTTTCTTGTTTGAGGTCACCTTTTAAGACTATTCAATAACTTAAATGCACATATAATCATCTCATCAAAAGTGAGTTGTAGTTGGCTCTGAATTGTCTTAGTCATTTCTTGTGAATGAATTAAATCAATGTCTGTTATGTTATGTCTGGATTCAGGTCCGACTCAGATGCTTTAAAAAAGATATCAGAATGTACATACACGAGTAGTAGGCATGGCAACATAATTCATATTTGCGGTGACCCAAGCGAACCCTCCTTGAAGTTGACGAGAAAACCCCGCTTTGACTGAGTTTAGGTTTTCTCCGATTATAAAATATGAAGACGGGACGGATAATGAGGATACTAATACTCACCCCAAATCCGCCCTATTTATTTTATTATGTACATTATTATTTATTTTTGATAACTTACAATATTTAATATGCTTTGATATTTTAATTTTAATTTGAATTTATAATTTAAAATATTATGTATGGAAATTTTTTTAGGTTCTTTATTTTTATTTTTATTTGTAATGTAATTTGTTTTGAAAAAAATAAATAATTTTATTAAAAAAATTGATTTCACTAGATGAATGGTGGTGGAGCAGAAACACCTAAACCCAACCCGAACCCGTTTTGAGATGTATTTAAATTTTAATTCATCATCTCCGTTTAGGTTCGAGACAGGAACGGAGATTGTTTGGAATTTCAAATTTGAGAAAGGTAAAGACCGTTTCCATCCCGCCCCACCCCATTGTCATATGGACAACATACTTTAGGGAAGAATGCAGAATTTTATTTAAGAAAATTATAACATGCAATTGATATAAGCTTCACATTGATAAAAAAGAAAATTCAAACTTATGCCAAAGCTAGATACAAATATATCATTGTAATTGTTGTAGTCTTGTAACATCAAAGCAGTGTCAATTGGTGCCATGCAGGTTGACAGACTCATAATTGAACAGACCGGTGGCGCCATTGAAACTAGTCTATGGGATAACACTTCTCAGCTTTGAAGAAACAAAAATCCTAAATAGCATCCATAAATAAAAACTTATAGATTCTGTAGTAGCATCTTTGTGATATTTCTTCTTATAAAGAAAGGTATTCATATGCACTTCTGCAACAAACAATATAAACATACATTGCCAAGTTTCCCACAAACAATATAAACATACATTGCCAAATTTCCCATCAAACTACAACGAAAACCATCCGCAATTAGACTCACCTGTATCGCCAAATTCTTTCTGCGCCCGCTTATTTAAAACCTTATCAAGGTAACTTAAGAAGCCAACACAAGATTCATCATTGCAAAACAGATTCACATATAAACAAAAAACTTTATTTAGTAGTGTATCATAAACCAAACTCTATTGAGAGAAACCATTAACACACACACACAAAAAATCACTTAGCTATGCTTAATTCCTTATCAATTGCAATTTTAGCAGTATCAAGATCCTCATCAAAAAACATATCCCAATGACCATCCCATTTGATAAAAAACTCAGTATCCTCATGATACTTCACTCTATGCACATCACCAGCAGGAGTAAACAAATAATCTCCAACCGTTAGATCATATCTCTCCTCCTTCGTCAAATTCCAAACGCTCTTCTTCCCTTCCAACACCACCAAATCGTGCCCAAACGTGTGATGGTGCGCTGGCTCCACGCTCCCGGCTTTGAACCTCACGAACGCCGACGTCGGCGTCTCTCTAACAATCTTCATTGAACCGCCGGGAATCAAATCGATCGGGTTCAGTTCCCGGTTCTTCACCAAACAACAAACCGCACACGTGTCAACCGGTTCACCTTTTCCGATTTCCGGCATTTCAACTAATGATTTGTCGAGAAAATTCTCAATATCCTCTGGCCATGGTTTGTTATCATTTGCCGGACACGGAGCCTTGAACGGCGTGTTCAGCCATGTCTTCACGATCTCGATCGCGGTTTCCTTCGAAGTGTACTTACCGGAGAAAGCAATCACGTTTGCGTTGTTGATGGATCGGGCGTTGACGGCGTCGGAGGGAGTAAGACAAGTGGTAGCGAACACGCCGGGGAATTTGTTAGCGAAGATGGAGACGCCGGCACCTGTTCCGCAAACAACGAGACCGCGGACCTCCGGGGAGGATGATGATGCTGATTGAGAGACGCGGCGGCCGACCTCGGCGCCGGCGGAATAGTAAGAAGAGGTTCCGAGGTCTTCGATTTCGATGTTGAGGGAACGGAGGTGGGAGATCAAAGCATCTTTGAGAGGAGTGCCAAAATCATCGGCTCCGGCGATGATTTTGATAGGGGTGTTTGGTTCCGCCATGGATGATTGATGAGAACGTAGATTTGGATAGTGAAGAGTGAGAATGGTGAGTGTGAAATGAAGGTGCCACTAGAAAAAACGAAAGGTTGAGAAATATTCGTGCCATTAGTCTCCTGTGACCGATTCAATGAATCTGGACATACTCTAATTTTAATTGATAACTTTTTCTTCTTTTGTGTTTTTTGGATAAAAAAACGAGTTGATTTAATTTTTAATTACATTTATATTTAAAAGGCTCGAATACTCTAATTTTGACATTTAATCTTCATGTATTTTAAAACTTTAATCTCTCAGCGTTTTGATTTCCTATTTAATATGAAATTAATTGGAAGTAAAATCGTGTAATCATTTAATTAAAATAAATTATTTTAACATATAATTATCTGAACTAAAAAATAAAAATAATATATTATAATTAATTATTTTAATAACTTATTCTTCTATTTTTTTCCATTCATTTACATATTTATTTATGTATCAAAAAAATTTATTTTAGTTTTTATTTTAGTTGGATTGTAAAGTAGCTTTCCAGTCACTCACTGTGTTTCAATTAATTTCTTTTTATATTTTAGAATTATTTTTTATTTTAATCGGTTGATAATTTTATTTAATATGTGTCAATGTTACTATGATGCTACTTGAGAAAAACGTGTCACGTCACATATTCAAAAAATATAAATTGTTATTTTTAGTATATCTAAAAATATAACAATATTTTTAGTCTTCAAATTTTTTTTTATAATTCCACCGGTGAACTTTTATTACAGGAACACCAGTCAATTTTACACTAAATTTTTACCTTAAGTTCATCTTGCCTTGTTTACAAATACATTATAGTCACAAGAGAATGTTAAGATTGTTGATTTATAATTACAATTCAAACAAATTTAAACAACATTTACAAATGAATAACTCTCTCAAGTTACTAAAATAACTCTAAATGTATAAGAAGTTTTTAAAAAGATGAATAAGAGAGAAGATTAATATTTCAAATTTCTTATGTGTTTTGAAGTGAACACAAACATTTCTTATAAAGTAAAAAAATTGTCAAAAAATAAAATATTTTTTTAGTTCAATTCAATTACATAATCAATTAGACCGCAAATCTAGTCGATTATAACCTAGAAAATTAGGGAAGTATTTGTCAAATTTAAAGTTTAATCAATTAAAAGGCTTCTTAATTTATTTTAGGGACAATTCGCTCCATAATCTATTAGACAAAGATCCTAGTTAATTATAAAAAAAAGTTTTATTTTTTAATTGATTAAATAAGCTTCTCATAATATTTAAGAATATTTTGAAAACAAATGAAGTTTTGAAAAATATTTAAGTCTATGCATGTATTACTTTAGTATTTTGAGAGTTACTCAAACTTAATATTATAAACTAATAATCTTAAATAGATAAAAAAAATGTAGGCACATGACAACAAATGAGCTTTGCAAAATACTTCGGTTTCTTTAATATTGTTTTTAGTATTTGATTCTCTTGCAAATATTGGAAGTTTGGAACCTTTTTGATTTTGATTTATTTTAATTATTTTTCCTTCTTGATGATGCTTATAATAGTTTTGTTTTATTCACTTTTGCCATCATCAAAACCACAATTACCTATACAACACATAAATCCACCGTTTTTTCAAGTAATGTTAAGAAAATTTATAAACTTGCTGCAAATACTCCCTCCATTATCACGTATAAACAACTTTTATTTTTTAGAATATCTTTAATACAGGTTTTTAATAGTTAAAATTTTTATAGTTAACGATGATTATAAAGAATTTGCATTGGAATGACTATGACATGACATTTAATTTATTAATTTTTAGTTTCCGACAATTATAGAGCTAACGTGTGCTATATATTTGAGCCTACAAACAATTTGCAATGAATATTTTATGTATTTTATTTAAAATAATTAAATTAATGGTACTTCAATAAAAAAAATAATTACAATTAAAAAATATAAAATATAGGGTCAAGTTTTAATTTTTTATAAACAACTATCATTAAAGTAAAAACAACTCAAATCAACTATAAATTTTTTAAATTCTACAAATCACTTTGCGTCCACAAAAAATATCTTAGTTTACCCACTTAAGATACTCCCTCTAAAGATGCTCTTAGATTTATTAAATAATTGATGTTTCTAGTCTATATATAATCCAAATACATCATTTATTCAATAAACTTAAAAAGTAAAATTTACTTATAAAAAATAATGGAGGGAGTATTGGATAACTAGGTCTTGAATATTATCATAACTATTACTACCTCTGTCTCATAAAGAGTGTCTCATTTGCACTTTTTTTATGTTTCAAAATAAATGTCTCGTTAAAATACCAATACAACATTTATTATTTTTTCCACTAGTATACCCCTATTCATTAACTTTTACGTTTTTCAACTACTCCACTGACTATAATAAATAAGAGTATTTTAGTAAAAGATAACAATTTTATCATTAAAATCAACACGTCTAATGATTTTCTTAAAAATCACACACAACTCAAATAAGATATTTATTATGAGAGGGAGGGAGTATTACTTATTTCCAATACATTTGTAGGCTTAAAAATCAAAGGGCACTTGGAGATGGAAATATCAAGATTTCCAAATGCAAGGAAAATCATTAAGCGAACCAAGAGGGAGTTAAGTCAAAGAGTTGAAGGAAAATAAGACATATTGATTCGTTCGGAGAAGTCAAAGTGATATAAAGGTGAGATAAGTCGTAGAGTTAGAGGTGTTCTAAGATAAAATTTGTTAAGAAAATATCATGTTTGTTAAGCAATTTATGGCAACACTAGTGATTTTAAATATAAGTCGACATTACCTTCTTCTAAAGTAACAATAACTTTCTAAGTGAAACCCTCATTTTCTGAGGGAATGTTCACTTTCTCCAACCTATAAAAACAAACTCATAATCATATTTGAAGGAGCTTAACATTTTATAAAGAAAGAAAAACATAGAGAAAGGCTTATGAAAGCAAATGAATTCAAGTTTGAACAATTTAAGGTTTGGATATTCATGACTTTTATGTAATTTACCATTTTACTCATTTCTTTGTATATTTTACCATGAGTGTGCGTAGCTAATTTTCTTTTGTATCGTTATTATGTGTACTTAACTATGAACTTGATGTAACTTTTGAACTAACATAATCTTTGTTTCATTTTATTGATGAGATATATATGTTCTTAATGTTTTTCAAAGTTAAATTTCAAAATTAAACTTTGCTTCATAATGTGCTTGACAAAGACTTTTTACTTAAAGAATCTAGAATAATTTTATTTGTGGATATTGTTAGACGAAGGCAACGATCTAGAACGGGGGTTGATAGATTGCCAAATAAAAATTTCGTATTCAAAATTTTGCTTTGAAAAATATTTTTTATGGCAAGCGGAAAGCAAATCCAGATCGACACTCGTCTACCCGAACCGTTATTGGTAGAATCAGATATGCGTATAAAGCATAGTAAAAGCGTGTTAAATATGAGAAAATGAACCAATAGGTTTTATACAATGTGTTTGAATACAAACCATACAATGATAAACAGTTTCCAATGAAATGTAAAAATAAACTTGACTCAAAAATTTTATCAAACACTTAATATGCAATCAATTTATCAAATATTGAGAGTGCAATACACCAAGCTTAATTCTCTTTGTGTGGAAGGTATGACAAATTAAATTCAATTGTTTAGATTGTAATGGTTTTACAAACACAGTTGAAGATATTTCAACATAACCAGAATTTTTAGCAAATCAAATTACTCACTAAGTGTTATCAAATTGTAGAGAGAGAGAGAGAGAGAGAGAGAGAGAGAGAGAGAGAGAGAGAGAGAGAGAGAGAGAGAGAGAGAGAGAGAGAGAGAGAGAGAGAGAGAGAACACCAAGATTTGTTTAAGCAATTCCCCAATTGTCCTTACTATGAGTGCGTCTACCCACAATTCAAAATAGAATTGAGATATGCAATTAACTTTTGCAAGAGTATTTTACAAGAGAAGTAGTAGCAATTCAAACTTCCAAACCCTATGTTTGATATTGATCTTAGCTTTTTTTCTCTTCCCTTAATCTTAACTAGATCAAGTTACACAAGAATTCTAATTAATCATCCGGTTACCGCTACTTCTTTGACCGAAACTCCGTTCTTTAAAGCTTTCACTCGGCTGAATCCAAATTGCAAAATCTTGACCTAAGTCTTTCAATTGATCCTCCGGTTACCGCTACTTCTTTGAAAGAACCCCCGTTCTTCAAAGCTTTCACTCTGTTAAATCCAAGTTGCAAAGACTTATGTAAAAACTCCTAAATCAACCCTTGATCTTGGAGGAAAAACCCTAATGGTTTTATCAATGAAACCCCCAAAGAAAAACTCAACCCAATTTAATTTACAACAACCTAAATTGGACCTTATCAATCTATTCTTAATGACACTCAACAAAAATGATTATTTGTAGTTGTTGAATGTATGTAAATAAAGGTTGAAAATAATGAAAAATTCTAAGTATGTTATTGGTTTCAATTTTAGAAATTATGTCTGAATACATATTTATATGTATGTTTGTGCGTAAAAAAAACAGATTATTTTTAGCCAAAAATACGAGTTTAGAAAAGATTGAGTCAATACATGTATTGGCTCCAAACAGGATGTATTGACTCCAAATTCGTATGAGTCGATACATAGCCCCAATGAGTCAATACATTAAAGGCAGAAAAATATGCTTTAAAAATTGCTTCAATAGGAGTCAACTTCAATTCAGGATGAGTCGACTCAATTGAAATATGTATTGACTTATAGATGCTTTGTATCAATACATAAGAGACAGGGACATTATTTTGAAAAACCCTTTTTAGTTTGAGTGGACTCTAATACAGGATGAGTCGAATCAATCATATCATGTATCGTCTCATGACGCCTTTGTATCGATACATACAAGGCACACATGAGCAAAATCATATTGCTTAAAAATCTTTCAGAATGAGTCAACTAATTTGCAGCTT